ACCGGATAGGTTGACATCATCATCAGGTGGGAATTCGAAGAAATTTGCATCATCATCGATGTTGATTTGATTAGAGTCGAATTCAGCAGCTGCATCTTGAAATCCATCCACATTTGATTCAAGGGAAGATTGACCATTCTCCCAATCAACCTGAAAAGGTTGAAACGGTTCGGAATCAAATGGAGGAAGAGAGGGTGTCGGATCGAAAACATGTTGGGAGACCGGTGCTTCGGATGTGGTTTATCTTGTTCGAGATTCCGAATCAAGAGTCGTTTTTGAGGGTCCGAACAGGGTCTCAAAGTCAACTTCATTGATTGTTTGCTGGTTCAGACATCCTGGTGCTGGAGCATCGGACTCCATGATGTGAGTTGTAACATGGGTCAGACTAGAATTCCGAACGAAATTGTCATCAAAGGTAACGTCAAAACTTTCTTCCAGAACACGAGTTCGTTGATTGAGAACTCGATAAGCCTTTTATTTAGCAGAGTATCCAAGGAAGATAACTTCATCAGCTTTGAGTTGGAACTTGGTAAGCTGATCACGATTATTCTTGATGAAACATCTACATCCGAAAACATGAAGAAAGGAGATACTTGGCTTCCGATCGTTCATGGCTTCATACGGTGTTTTGCTGAGGCGCCGATTGATGATACTTCTATTCTGAGTAAATCATGTGGTAGAAACAGCTTCAGCCCAAAGATAGAGTGGAAGATTTGCAAAGTTGAGGAGTGTATGGAGCAGAAAAATTGTGGTCGATACCCTTCTCAGTGAGGAAGTTCAATGGTGGAATTTGTGAATTCCAAACCATTGTCACTTCGGATTCTCTTTACTTGGAGTTTGATGAGAACTTCAATTCCTTTGATAAAGTTGATGAGTTCGGAGGCTGTTTCTGATTTGAGCCTTAAGAAAAAGACCCAGGTGAACCTAGTAAAGTCATCCACAATCACAAGAATGTATTTTTTGTGATGCAGACTCTCTACTGTTGATGGTCCAAATAGATCAATGTGTAGAAGTTCTAGCGGCTCCGAGATTGATTTTTCAATGATGACGGGATGACCCTTCTTTGACTGCTTTCCACACTCACATGCAACACATAAATGATCATTTTCAAAGTTGAGGAGTGGCATTCCTGTCACCATTTCACTAGAAACAAGATCATTCATATACCTGAAATTCAGATGAGCAAGCCTTCGGTGTCATAACCAACTAACATCAGGAACGACTTTGGATAGAAGGCAAAGTTGAGGTTTGCCAATAATCATGTTGATGTGGAGAGGATACATGTTCTTGTTGTGATTTGACTTGATTAAGCATTATTTTCGATCTTCAGTCATGATGTAGTTGTGTTTCTTGCAAAATTCAACTCGACGACTTGCATCAGTGAGTTGAGCTACACTTATCAAGTTATGCTTCAAGCCAGCTACATATGCCACATTTGAAATGGAGAAGTTTTCATTTGTAAGGATGACATATCCTCGGATCTGAGAGTTGGATTTCTTGCCATATGTCACATAGCCAGCATTTGGTAAAAGTTTAAGATCTCGCAGAAAGTTCTTCTGCCCGGTCATGTGTATGGAGCAAGCACTATCAATATACAATATTGTTTCTTGCTCTGAAGCACAAAGTGCCTGCAAAATTAGTGAGTTGTGGGGTTTTTAGGCTCCGAGTTAGGTTTTGGGACAAAGGCACGAGTCTTAGGCTTTGGTTGTGACTTTTGAGCAACAAATGATTTAAAAGATTTGTTATGAGATTCCTTAGGAAACAAACAAAAGGCCATGGTTCTTTCATCTATCCAATAGTCATATTCAACAATATGAGGATTTGGAACACCTTTCTTCGGACATTCAACTTCCGGAGTAGTGAGAACTATTGTGTCTTCCGGAGTTGTAGTTTCATCATTGTGTTTTTTAACTTTCCAAACAAGATTTTGTTTTGAAGATTTTGAATAGATTGTTTTCTTGTAAAATATTTCTTGTTCGATGGCACACTTGATTTCGAAAGCGATTCAGGTTTAAAAATTGTGCCATCGTTTTTCACTATAAAAACAGATGAAGCATTTCGAGGAGAGTTGGTTCGGAAAGATGTAGGATTCTCCTTAGTAGGAGTAACGAGTTTCTTTCGTTCTTCAGGATTGGAAGGTTTTGAAGGTCTCTTAAGGATCTTAGTGTGTGAGAAGGTGTTTTGACTTTTAGTTGACGAAGGAGTATTCCGAGATACACTCTTTTTGTAGTTCTCAAGGAATCTAGAGTTTTGTCTAGACTTAACTTCCTTTTTGAGAGCATTCCGGGATTCAACCTTAGGATTAACAATATCTTTCTTATTCAACATGGATTTTCTTTTGGAAAGAGGTGAAGAGTTAGAGGTTTGTCCTACTGATGGATTTTTAAACACAGACTTAATTGGAACTAGTTTTGTTTTGGAAATCACTTGAGGTTCATAATCACATCAAATTGACTCCTTAGCATCACTATCTAGGGATGCCCAAATGCACTCAGAGAGTTCAGGTTCAGTTGTCTCCGAAAATATTTCCTCAACAACACAGTTGTTAGGTGGGTTGTGATTCGAATTTCGAACAACAAAGTTTGGAATACTAAAGAGGGGTTCCAAGGTCCGATTCAGGTCTAGGTTTGTCAGAGGCGGAAAAGACGTGGAATCATACACTTGACAACTATGGGCTTAAACTCCGGAATTAGTGATGCAAATTGGTTAGAAGTCTCAGGAAGGGGTGACAAAGGCGAGACAGGGGTATTTGAATGTTTGATGTTCGGAACGTCTCCCATAAAAGTTAGATTTTGTAACTCCTTTAAGGGACGAGAAATAGGTTTCGTAAACTCGCTTTCGAGACCAGGTGCTTTTGACCAAGGATGACGAAAATTGTGAGTCATCCGATCATTGCTTCAAGAATGTCTATGGAATTGTGCAAAACATCTATTTTAGCATTAAGACGTTCATTTTCAGAAATTAAAACATTTCTTTCAGAATAAGTGATTTCACATTTGTCTTTAAGAATGATGCATTCATCTTGTGACAACACAAGCTCTCGTTCTAAAGACTCTATTTTCAACTTCTTATCCTCAAAACGTAATCTAAGACGACTTAATTCACTTTCCTTCTTCTCACCGGCTTCTATGGCTGTTTCATACGCTTTGTAAATTATGTTCATGTCTGATTGAATCTGGGTTAGATATGGTTCACAAAGAGATAAATCAAAATTATTATCAGTAATGATAGATTTTACATGTTGAACAATGCTTCTACTGGGTGGATCGTTAGTTTCCACGTAACAGTAGTTTGTTTCAGCATCTTCATCATCTCTTTCGGACCCAGACAACCAGTAGCCTTCATCACATTCAATTTCTTTTCGAGCCATAAGACACATGTTTCTGCCAGTGGTTATGTCATCATCATCTCCAGACGACCAATACCCTTCCATATCCCTTGAGACAGTTGTAACAAAAGCCTTTTCACTCTCTGCCATTTCTTGTGCTCGATGTGCATAGTAAGCAGAATCCTTGATTTTGGGTTTCTGTGGGGCCTCTGCTAAGCAATCTTTGGAAAAGTGATTTGCATGCCCACATTTTTGACATACAATCTTGGGTTTTTCAGACATCGGATTTTGTGGTGGTTCTGAGGTATGATTCGGAGTAGGAAGGTTAGGCTTGTAGGCTGGTGGATTTTCGGAAGGTTTGTTGAATGGTTGATGATTATTTTGGTGAGGAGCTTGGAAACGGTTGTTTTGGTGAGAAGTTTGCAAACGATTGTTGTGAGGCTTGTTGAAAGGACGGTTGTATTTCATGGAAAGTAGGGCAAACTCTTGTTGGAAACGTAGTTCGGAGTCTATTTCTTCAGAGTTAAGATCACCCATAGATTGATAGTTAGAGTTTATGAGAGCGGGAATAGTTGGAAGTGAGGGTTGAATAGGAGGGATATAAGGAACAACAGTGGTGAGGGGGTCCGAAGTGGTTAGGTTTGAGGTTTGAGGATCATAGGAACTAACTAAAGCTAGAGGACCTCCAGTAGGTTCGCGTAAAGTTTGTGCAACGTTTGAATCATGACGTTGAAGCTCATCAAAAAGTTGATATAGCTTGAGCTTTTTCAGAGACCCATTGCTCTGAAGACATGATTTCACATTTCCCCGTCCCTTTTCGACACTGTTAATGAACTTGAGATTGTACTCAAGTGGAGTTCGTACTATCCCATGAGCTGTCATGATGTTGACGATGATCTGGTATCTGTTTGAAGTTGAGGCAACAGATTCACCAGGTGATGTAGTGAATGTGTCGAACTCATTGACAACCGAAGTCAGGCGCTTATCCTTCATGTTCTCTGACCCTTCGAACAAATCTTGAATTGTGTCCCAAATCTCTTTTGCATACTTGCATAGTTTGATGTGCTCAAAGAGAGAAAGTGGAACACCAAACACCATTTCTGAAAAGGCAACTTGATCAGCATGCAACTTTTCCAGATCATCAGCAGTGAGAGGTGCCTGTCGTTGTTGATCTTGTCCCAAGAGAGTTGTAGCAACATCTCTAACAATGGTTCGAACTGGAACATGAGGACCTTCTTTAACGGATCTCCATATAGATTCACCTTTTCTTTTCCAAGTAAAAATCTTTCCATTCTGACTTTCAAGTGATCATATTCTTCAACAACTAGCAGTGGAGCACGAGTAGGGCAACCTACGCTATTTGCTATTTGCATTGAGTACATTTTTTGGGAATTAGAAGCAGCCATTGAAGTTAAGATATCTTGAGAAAAAGTGGTATATAGAAGAACTTTTATCCTGAACACAAAAATGATCGAAATACCAAGGTAATCTCAAATCAACTATAATCTGTTTTTATGGATTCAAAGGACAACCACTCAAGCTCTGATACCAATTGTAAGAACAAGGATCTGATTGTGCAGGGACAAGGCTTCAAAATTCAAACCTTAAGTTAATGCTTAAGATCAATGTCTGCTTCCAACTTAATAGCTCCAGTCAAGTCTGGCAAGACTAGTCAAGTCTGAATATGAAAATCAACAAAGTACTTCAAGTATTAAATATAAGACAATGAATATGATCAAGTAAAGTCAATAAATGAACACAATGAATTTTTGACAGAAAGATATTAGATAAAGGTGCAAGTGAAGTAAATGTAAGAATATCTATCTTTGGTGAAGCAATCCGTCATACATAGGACTGGATAATAGAGTTAATCCTGACACTCTGATTATCTAAGTTGACAAAATAGAGTAAGTCCTATGATGCGTTACATCAAACAAAATGACAAAAGTAATTAATAAAAACGGACAAATAGATTCGGACATGCACCATCTTCAATCCGGACACCAAACTGACTCCAGACTACAAGTTGACTCCGGATAAGGAACTGACTTCGGAACTGGGCTGACTCCGAAACAAACAAAGGATAGAGATTGTTAGAGGTTCACTTTCAGGTTGCAACAAGGAGTGCCTTGTACTCTGCTTCGTTGTTAGATACTTCAAAGTCAAACAGCAGTGTGTAGGTGATCTCTTCGCCTTTGTGGCTTTGGAGGATCAAACCTGCACCTGAGCCTTCTTTGCTTGTTGTACCTTTAGTGTATAACTTCCAAAGTTCTTTGCCGACCTCAGGCTCTAGTGGGTCGACAGAGATTGTCGTCGGCACTCCCTTGATGGTATCTAGGATTTCAACCAGGAAGTCAGCAAGGGATTGGGCTTTGATGTTGGTTCTGGGGTGGTATTGGATGTCGTGTTCGCCCAACTCTATGGCCCACTTGGCTATGCGTCCGGACTTTTCCAGCCTTAGCAGCACTTGTTTTATTGGGTAACTGGTCAGAACCTCCACCTTGTGGGCTTGAAAATATCTCCGTAAACGTCTAATTGCGTAGATGAGGGCGAGGACCAGTTTTTCCAAGGCCATGTAATTTCTTTCTGGCCCTTGCAGGGCCCTAGTGACAAAGTGAATGGGGATTTGCTTGCCTTCCTTTTCCACTGCTAACACAGAGGAGATAGCCTCCTCAGACGCTGCTAAGTACATCTGTAGCGTCTCCCCCGGGAGCGGGGAGGCGAGAGTTGGGAGTTGTTGCAGTGCGACTTTTAATTTTTGCAAGGCCACGTCCGCTTCCGCTGTCCATTTGAATTGCTTTTTGTCTAAGCATCCTTTGAGTGTTTGGTATAGAGGAAGCGCCTTTTCTGTGGATTTGGCAATGAATCTTCTAAGCGTCGTTAACCTACCGTTGATCTCCTGTACTCCTTTAAGGTTGTGGGGAGTTTTCGACTCGAGGAACTCTTGTATTTTGGTGGGATTGGGTAGAATCTCTTCCCTGGACACCTGATAATCAAGGAATTGTCCCTCCTCGACTCCGAAAGTACACTTAGTCGTATTTAACTTCATTTGTGCTTTGACTAACGTTTTGAAGGTTTCTTCCACATCTTGGAGTAACATCTCTTCATTGCGGCTTTTGATTACCGTATCATTGACGTAAACTTCGATATTTCGACCAATTTGGTCGGCGAATACCTTGTCCATCAGTCTCTGGTAAGTAGCGCCAGTGTTTTTGAGCCCAAATGGCATTTTATAATAGTAGAAGGTGCCCTTTTCGGTATGAAAGGTTGTTTTTTCTTCATCTTTTCGCTTCATTTGCACCTGGTGATAGCCCTTATATGCGTTGAGAAAACATTTGAATCGAAAACCTTCAAGCGATTGGACTTTCTGATCGATCTCCGGGAGAGGATACCAATCCTTTGGGCAGACATTGTTGATATCTGAATAATCTATGCACATTCGCCATTCCCCATTGGCATTCCTTACCATGACCGGGTTCGCTATCCATGTTGGTAACATTACTTCCCTGAGTATGCCAGCACTCACCAGGTTGGCCACTTCTGTGTTACTAGCCTTATTGTGGTCTGCCGCCTGTCCTTGCTTCTTTTGCTTCACATGGTTACTCCTAAGTGCGATATTGAGGCTGTGTTCTATGATCTGTCGATCGACGCCTATCAGGTCCGTTGGCTTCCAGGAGAAGACGGTGGAGTATTGCCTCAGCAGCGCCACCAGCCCTGCCTTAGTTTCGACTATTAAGTGAGTGCTGATTCGCACGAGCTGCTATGGATACTCCATGTTTATCTGGTGTTGCTCAGTGGAACATCCCTCCTTAGACTTCATTGGCGCGCGCACGAGTTGTGGGGCGGCTATGATTTGGTGGCAAATTATGCTCTGCTGCTTGTGGCGAGGACCGTCGTCGATCCCTGGCGTGTGCTGAATTTAATGATGCCTGTATCGTCGATGGCACGAGATGCAGTAATGCGATTGCCGATCGCCCAAACAGAATGATATGTTCAGCTGGGTATCCGATCACAGAGAATTCGACTGTCCTTGTGATTCAGTCATTTCGTCGTGGCTGACCAACATTATGGGCAACCGAACGGTACCTAATGACCACAATCTATGCCCGGTGAATCCTACTAATGGTCCACCGGTTGGGGGTTGGAGCCCTTCCTTCTACGTATCAGGTAGCTGTCGGAAACAATGTTCATAGAGTATATCAAAGCAACTACCATTGTCAATGTATATTTGGTGGACCTTCGTGTTACGAATGAACCCTGATATGAGGAGTGGGTCTTGTGGATCCCAATTTGATGGTCTGGAATCGTTGCTCGAGAAACTGATGTTGAGTAGATTTCTCGAGAGTGCCTCAATCGTGCTTTCTGCATGGTGAGGTGCGTTCTTCTTACGGGAGTTAGAGATAGTGAATACCTCAGTGCCATCAAATGGATTCGTCTGCAACAGATTGGGATTTGATATCGTCATCTGATTTTGTGAGATATCCGATGACAATTTCCAGAAACTGCTCTGGATGCCTGGTTTTGTTGTTCTTATCATGATTGATAGGATCTATGTTATCAGTACCTGGGATGGTTCATGTGTTTAGAACAGATCTTCTACTGCCATTCCAGATACAGTTTGGCTTAGATCCCCCTTATATAGAGAACCGGCGTCGTCTATTGGCTATATCACTCTGAGGATATGTCTGGATGGAACCAAATGTTGTGACATGTTTGCAGATGGTTTGGATGTTGAACGATGGATCCGACTTGGGTACTTGCCTGAGAACACAATCACAAAAGAATTGTTAAAGGACGATTGGGTGTTCTCCCGGAACATCACTCCAACAATCAAATTAGTTTTCTGAGAGAGAGAGAAAATCTGGGGGTAGTTTTCATAAAAGAGAAGATGGATCCCTTCCATGAGGTGGAAGAGATCCTTTTGTACCTGTTACTAATGAATTGTGGGGACCGTGCCTCATGAGCATTAAACGTGGCCTCCTCTTACTGGGAGAGTTATTCACGCTAACTAACTATCAGGTGATGTCAGTTCTGGGCGTCACCCGAGCTATTTGTTGCCTTATCATCGGTTGTGAGTGAATGAGAATATCACATGGAATGTTCTTACCATGTGATAAGAAATGAGCTGCTGCCCTGGCCTTGGCTCGCTTAGACCAAGACCGGGTCTTAGCTAAGGTAGTAAAGTTTCTGTTACATTTTCCGTTACATTTAACGTGTTCGTTAGGTAGCGTTAACAATACCCAATGTGCGTTCAAAGTCTAACTTTTAAAGTAAGTCCAACAATTCAAGATGAATTCATTCATGTAGAAATTCATATGTTCATCTTGAAGTCGTGAAGAAATCAAAGATAAAAGCTTACAGTTAAGAACAAAGAGAAGATTGAAAAGAAAAGAAAGCTACAAAACCAAGGGGGAGATTTTTAGGATATGATTTGTGGTTTATACTTCACTTTACTTAGCTTTTAGAGTTCTCGGTCTAGGACCGAAAACACCATGAATTCGGTGGTGTTTGGACCAAAATCATTCAGTGTTTTCGGTTGGGCTTTGGGCTGGGCCTTTGTAATTAGGTATATATATATATATATATATATATATATATATATATATATATATATATATATATATATATATATATATATATATAATATATATATATATATATATATATATATATATTGTATTGATTAAGTCGTGTTCTAGGTTGGTCATTCTAGTTGTTGATTTTCGAGATTTGTGAAAGACAGAGAGAACCGAGAGACATAGAGAGTCTTATGTACCAGACTATTGATTAATATAGTGTGCATTGAAGATTCAACATCGTGTTCTTATTTCATATTTATAATTTGTGTCATTCACTTGATTGAGATTCTGCACCAATCTAGTGATTTGGATTGATACCTAGATCGTGGTTTTACAAAGTTCAATGCTATAAGTTAACTGGAAAACTTTGTGTTAAAAGTTTTGCTAAAGGTGAAACTATTGCATCTATTTGGGTCAGACTTCATGCAGATAGATGTCAACCACCACTCTGTTCCTTTTGCCATGATCATGCAAGAATCAAAACCATTATTCACCATTCAACACTTAAAGCTCAAGGTTCTTGCCAAACGGTTAGTTAAAATCTAGGAGTTTGTGCATAAGTATAGATAGATATTGGTAAAAATTTAAGTATCAATGTCCACTGAATAATCAGAAAAAAAAATGAGTAACCTTTTACTTTTTACACAACTGTCTGTGTATTCATAGATTTGACGCATATATGGTGGTTGATATAATATAGTAAAAGTTAATATTTTTACTTACGATCTTTATATACATTCATTCTTTATGATTGAATGTATGGACATTTTTTTTTATAAAACTGTACGAAAAAATATATTACTTTTTAATGGGAGTAATCTAAACGAAAATTGTAGTAGACTCAAATACGAATGTGTGGATATAAAGATCGTTAAAATCTGAGATCGTATAAAGAAGTTACGACATTCAGAACACAAAACCTAAACACCAAGCAATCGAGGTCGTTGTGGCCATAAGCATGAACTGCCCCGAAAACCTCATTAATGATTGTCCTATGTAGGATTTCATGCGAAAAAACCTAAAGATGTCATTAATAAGTACTGAATGTGTACAAAAACAACAAGAACTTATTTTGCAACACAAAAAACATTAAGGACTAAATGTGCAAAAAAAATATGAATGACTAAATGTGTACAAAGTGAGAAATATATTACCCAATTAAGTTATTTTTTCCGGTTTACCTGGAGTAACTTCTCATAAGGACGGAGTGTGTACTGTTAAATAAGTTGAAGGGCCAAATGTGGATGGAAAAAAAAAACTCAGTGACTAAATGTGTAAAAAGCGAAAAGTATATTACCCTTTTAAGTCATTGTTCCTTTTTTGAATTAATGAAAACAAATATGAATTTTAAACTTTCCCTCTGATATGCAAGGGTTTTCCCAAGAGAACTTGTTGAGCTCACCATGTTGAGGCCAAGGGGTGGTATGTGTTGATGCCACCTCATCCCGTTCGAGTTCTTGTCGAGATCACGCCCTCTAGTCTAACGTATAAGTATGTTTGACAAAATTAGGTAGTGCCTACCAGCTCAAAATTACAAATGTAACTTTTATTATTATAGAAAAATTTATTATATTAGTTGTAAATTTTTGAAGGTATAAAATTATATAAAAATAAAAACTCCTTGAAGAAACTTAAAGGAGCATGTGGATTATAATGCTTTTGTTTAATTAAAAGCTTTAAGTTCTCAAACAATTTTTATTTTAATTCAAAATTTTTCTCAAAAGTTAAAAGCTAAAGGCGTCAAAAAAAATCTAAAAAAACCTCCCAGATATACCCATAGACTATGTACCCCCCTGCCCCCCACTCCAATACACAAACACACCACTTCCTCTCACCCCACTCCCAATCACGTCCAACAGCTATATATATATATATATATATATATATAATATATATATATATATATATATATATATATATATATATATATGTCTTTTAATTTGTGTCACCCTCTATATATACAAATTTAACACACATTTTTTACCACACCTTCACTCCGTCTTCTACAATTATCTTTTTTACTTTTTTCAATTCATTTTTACATTCAAATCAGCTCAAAACCAATTACAGGCTAATAGTTCCAACATACCTACTTCAAATACTTTTGGTTTTGAAAAAAAAATGTAATATCATCTGAGTGGTCTACATCAATCTGCCTTAAAGCCACGTGGAAGGACAATCACAAAACACTAGCAATATTTTAGATGTGTTAGAGTTTGAACCCTGGACATCCTATGTGGATTTACACTCCTAAACCACTAGACTTCTATCGCAGGGAAATAATTTTGGTTTCGATTATCCAATCACATTTTACCGGCCACAATTTGAATCCCCTATTTATTCACCCTACCAATTTCAATTTTCTGCGACACATTAGTTTTTTCCAACACAAAATCTAACCTAAAAGCTATTTCCAAATTTCTCGCCTACCCCTAAATGCATTCTTGAAACACAACCCCCACCCCAACCTATAGTCGAATCATTTTGACCCATAAGTAAAGGAAAGAAAGCTGCTAAGTATGGACAGTGACAGAAGAATTCGCATTAGCCGATCAATGGGTCGTTATATTAAAGGATGTGGCACCCTGTAATTTGCAATCGTTGTAATAGTAAAAAATAGAGGGAATGCGTTCGAATATTTCTAATTTTAGAAGGTCGTAATAACTTCCCCATAATGTCATTTTTTGGATGACGGAAAAAGAAAGCGGTTTTCCATAAAGAACAAAAAACATCTAACTCAAATCATACAACTTCTTCATATACTCTTTTCAGGACACCTCAAAACCGATGATGGCAACCTTGAAATTAAATAATTCACCGAACCAGTAGGTAGTAATGAAGAAAAAAGAATGAATCTTAGTCTAGTATATCGGGAACCTACAAAAGTGAACAATTAGAAAATATGACAATGGAGCTCCAA